AGCAGGCAGGAGGAGCTGTGCCAGGAAGGGTGCCCGGGCAATGCCCTTCCGTCTCACTGCTGGTAACCTTCCTACTGCTGGCCGGGGTGCGCCAGAGTGCCGGCAGACTGGTGGCACCCTCTGTCCCAGCACCGCCACCCAGTACCTTCCCTGTCTTGTCATGGTGACAAGTGCCAGCTCAGTGTCATGGGCAGCCAGGGGTGTGGGGATGGTGAGGGGACAGGTGCTGGCACTGGTATAGCAAGGGTTACTCTGCCGCGAGACTGCCTGGGTGCCATAGCAGGACTTTTGGCTGGGTGGCCCTTAAAGGGTTGGGCATGGCATCCCTAACCCTGCTGTCCCAGTCTGCTGTCCCTGAGGGGAAGTTGCCCAACCCATCACAGTGGGCAACTTAATTTGCTGTGCCAGCACTGTGCCTCAGTTCCCCTGCACCCAGCGGGGACGTTTCCACTCGGTGCTGCTCCCGGCACGCGTGGCAAGGTGGGGGGGCCATCAGCACCACCCCGGCCCCAGAGCCCTGCCGGGACCTTGCAGGCAGCAGCTCTGCCTGGAGAAATCATCAGGCGTCAGAAGGGCTGGGCTTCCATCCCGGAAAAAACGGCGTGAGAGGGATGCGCCACGTCGCCTGCCAGCCACCCCTTCCCGCCTCGCCGGGTGCTCCTGGCAAGCACTGAAGCCACCAAGTGCTGACATGGTGACAATCCCCAGCTGGAATGGGTATCACCACCAGCATCCTGCCCTTGCTGCCAGCTCCACCGAGGGCGGTCGGCGTGGCCGGTTGCTGGTGGCCTGGCTCCCTGCCAGTGCGGGGGGGTCACCGCCGCCAGCGTGAGCAGGTGCCGGTACCTTTGCTCTTTGATCCCTTCCCTGCTGCCGGCAAATCCGCACCCAGGGATCGCTGCTTCTGCCAAATCTCCCCCGGCTGTTCCGGCTCTGTTGAGCATCGGTAGCTCTGCTGGCACCGCCCGAGCCCCCAGCAGGGTTTGCAGTAGGAAATGGCTCCTCTCCACCTCCAAAGGGCTCCTTGGGGTGACAGGCAGCAAATGGCTGTTCCTCCCACACCTCCTGTGCCAGTGGGCAAGCTGGTACAGAACTGGATGCATCTGTGCCATCAGACGGGTGACCAGCACCAGTGGCTGCTGGAGAGCACAGAAAGAGGGAGACAGGGCAGGATGGGCACCTGTTAGCCACCAGTGTGGGGACAAACTCCTCGCCAGCTGCTTGTTTAACTGCACCATCCCTGGCCAGGCCTGCTCTTTGTCCCAAACCCTGTTCCCCACCGCAGCCTGTGGCTTTTCCAGAGGGGCCAGGGAAGCCCAGATGTGCCATAAACACCTCAGGGATCTCTCCTATTGCCGCTTTGATGGCTATGCCAGTGGCTTTCTGCTGGCACACCTCTCACTGCGCACCAAGGTGGCAAAGTGGCTCTGTCTCCCTGGGGCATGTGGTGTCAAGTTGGCATCAGGTTCGCATTAGGCTTTGGGTGCCCACCACATTCCTGGTGCAAGGGAAGGATGTTCCAGACAGGGGACAGAGCCCATGGGATGCCAAGCATGCTAGTGTGAGGGCCTAGGCTGGTAGTGAGCAAATGCACACAAGGCGGCTGCATCCTTGTAGCCTGGTGTGGTGGTGATGTCCTTGAGGGACACCAGCTTAGGGGTCACACCCCATTTATGGATACAACCCCTGACCCTACATCCACCCCCTTGTCACAACACATTGGTGTGAGACCCCCACAGCAGGGACGTGGAGCGGCCCCGGCACATTCCTGCCAGGATTAGGTACTGGCTCCTGGCAGCACCATGCTAGTGTAGCCTAGCTAATCCATTTTAATTGTCCCCACCCTGTGACACGCTGAGCCGGGAAGCCCAGAGGATGTGGCATGCTGGTGGGTGTCCCTGCTGTGGGACTGAGCTGTGGGGTGCACGGTGAACTTTTGGAGCGCTGATGCAGGAGACTTCCATTCTCCAAGTGCAGTGCAATGGGTTTTAGGGAAAGGGAGGGATCTGGGGGTTCTAGGATCCCATCTGCTACCCCAGGGTGACTGTCTGCCCTCAGGTTCATTGATGCCAGCAGCCAGGCCCTGGGGCAGGCAGACGGGCCATGTCCCTTGCACCAAAAACTGCTGAGCTTGAAGCTCCTTAAAACCATTCCAGAGGGGAAGGAGCCTTGGCGGAATTACAGCACACAGGCTCCCTGCCACCAGCCCAGCCTTCTCCCCAGCCCGGCAGAGGGCAGGAGAGATGCTGGCCATTACCCCCTAGCCTGCTGCCCTGCCCCAGCCACCCCAGACCTGCCCTGAGCCATAGTGACCAGTGGCATCCATCTCCTCCAGGCTTTAAAAATAGGCCAGTGTCGGTGCCACAGGGTCTGTAATTTTAGCCAGGGTGTGTCTCACTGGGAAGCACGCGGGACCATCCATCTGTTCCCAGGGCTGATGTCAGCCTCATGCTGCCCACTTACTCATCCCTGCCCCAGCAGAACAGCCTGGCCATAGTTACCATGGGCATGGTTGACACTGGTAAGGGCAGGAGAGTGGGGACAGGGTGTCCCGGTGCCCCCCCCAGCCTGCCTGCTCCCCATGCAGGGCATCTTGTCTCCAAAGCTGGTGGAAGCAGCACCCCACTGTTACGGCACCCAGCAGCACCCAGCCAGGCAATGGTGTGTGGGGGGTCCTCCCCTCTTCTCTGACCCTGGCCCCCCAACACAACAGCCACTTCAGATGGCCTCCCACGGTGCTCCCGCAGAGCCACGGCGGCTGGGAAGACTGGGGGGGCCACTGCCGAGCATAATGCGGCTATTGATGGGCGAGCGGGCGGCCCCGGAGCGGCACAATAGGGCCTTGTCTGCCGGTCCTGCTTCCCACTCCTGCCTAGCCCGGTGCCCAGCGTCGGGCTCCCTCTTTCCTAAGCAGCTTAGAGCTCGCCCAGGTACCACCAAGGGCAAGCCCTGCCCAGAGCCGGGCTGGCAAGTGCAATGGAACAACCATGGATGGGAGGGCAAACCCTCGCTTCCCTTCTCATAAACCGGTGCCCTAAGGAAGGGGCATTGCTTGGGAAGCCCCACAGCGCAGCTGTGCTGGCCCTGGCTGCTCTGGCTGGGTCGGGGCTTGGGTTTCCGCAGTCAGCCACAGGGTGACAGGGACAAGGAAGTTGGTACGTGCCCGGCATTGCCCCCACTTCCCTCTC